CTTAGCCATCGAGCCGATTGGATGAATCTTGACAGAGCTCAAAGAGAAACTGTTGAAATCTGTGAAATCTTTACTTAATTCCCGCATCTATTGTTATACCATGGAATACTCTGTAATGGTTATCTCAGCACATACCACTCATGTCATGGTGCTGAAAATTTTGACAAGTATGCTGCAGGTGTGGCGCCTTTTGTGTAATGGCAGCTGCCAGTTGCCCGCTCGACACTGGAGACCAGGCATCTCCAATTTTTACCCGACTGGATTGGTGGTTTGCTCAATTCTGGTCCGAGCCACAACAACGACAGCATATACCAGGGAACAATTTGCTGACATCCTCTCAATCGGCACATCGGTCCATTCCCGTTCTTCCAGGAAGGCCTGTTTACGCAAGATAAAGTGTATATAGACCTCTCCACGGAGGACGGAATACTCCAGCAACAGATACCTCACTAGACCTCAACATACCATTGCCTCCAAACGACACAAAAGCCTGCAGAAATTCAAATCTGTGCCAATGGTAGCTGTCAGGAGACCCTTTAGTCACCAATCATGTTCTCCGAGAAAGAGTTCTATTACCAGAAAGGTTGATGGAGACCATCTGTTGCAGCTGACGGTGCTGCAGTCCAGTGAGCATCCTGATCGCCCCCATTCATCTCCCTGTTTGAACCGCTGGCTCTTTGGTTACTGGATCTGCAACAGGGCTCACCTAGGGCTGCCAAGGGTTAAATCGGGACTCAGGCATCCTGCAGCAATTATCCATCAGCTTTTGGTTATTGTAATCTCTCTATTAGGTCACAACACCACAGCCATTGTGCTTTAACAAGGCTAACCTTACAAGTTAAAGGGATACTCTAGGCACCCAGATCACTTCTGCACATTGGAGTGGTCTGGGTGCCAACTCCCACTACCGTTAACCCTGCAAGTGTAATTATTGCAGTTTTCATAAACTGCAAGATTTACATTGCAGGGTTAAGTACTCCTCTATTGGCTATAGTAAAATCTGGTCTGCCTAGTGCAATACACAGGGATGAGGGAGTCCGACTCAAAGTGGATAGTTCAATACTGAACCAGGACAGGGATACACCCAAACCTGTCCAAAAGGAATAAGAAACAGTAATACCTTCAAGGTAGTGAGTTCAGGAGCTAATTCACTATAATATGGCTTGGTTGACAATATAATAGTTGTATCCGTTTCTAAAATAACCAGTATTGACGTGAAAAATATGTATGGTGTGTATACCTTTAAATCTGCTCAAGGCAGATTTAGTCTGTTACACACCAAGATACTCTGCTTAAATATGAAGCAACTTGATAATTACAGATTCACAACAGCAAAAGTGTAATCTGTACGGGGTTTAGAATACACACAAAATATTATAATGAATATGTCTTAAAATCATAAGGTAGCACACTGGATGGTGCAAATAGGCAATATATAACTTATATCGCAGAGATATAGAATTAGTTTAATCTCTATATATAAAAACAGGTAAATGCAGGTAAGTTAAAAAAATTCCAAAAAACCACTGAAGAATATATAAAATAAAAATGTATATTTATTAATATTAAAAAATAGATGAATGAGAAAATGTATTAAAATTAATGAATTACACAGTACAATTGTGCAAAAAATACAAAAATGGGGACCAGGAACGATCTACAAGTCAGTTGTCAGCATAAATGTTAAATTTGTATCCTGATAACCACTGTAACCGATGAGGAGTACAGTGGATACTATGTGACAGGATTTCAGTATCTGTACTTGCCGGCTGCTGCGAGGTTAGCGTGCGTGCCAAACCTCACTGTGATAGTCTGATACCGGCAGTCCGTCGGTCCCCCGATCGATGGGGAAGGGAGCTGTGCTTGCTGCTGACAGCTGGCTGTTCTCCGTATCCTGTGTCCTCTCACACTGTTGGCTTGTCTTACGCGTTTCGTGGGTGTCAGCCCCACTTCCTCAGAGACGTTATGGAATTCCATCTAGGCGTGCAGTTTATATACATGACTCAATAAAAAACAAATGTGGCAATTACTCTATATGAGTGAATTATTACTGTTACAATTGATCTATGTATATAAAAAACGGCATATATATAAAAACTAATGAAAAATACATTAATAAATTCATAAAGATTATATACATTAGATGATGATAAAACAGTGGCATGGAATTAGTAAACTAATCAAAATTTAAAATAGAAATAAAAATAAGAAAAAAATCGAAATAGAAATAAAAATGAAAATAAGAAGGAGTATAAAAAGATAAGTTGTTCCTCAGAAATCTGTGTGTTACCATTTGAATATAACAGATTTCTGAGGAACAACTTATCTTTTTATACTCCTTCTTATTTTCATTTTTATTTCTATTTCGATTTTTTCTTATTTTTATTTCTATTTTAAATTTTGATTAGTTTACTAATTCCATGCCACTGTTTTATCATCATCTAATGTATATAATCTTTATGAATTTATTAATGTATTTTTCATTAGTTTTTATATATATGCCGTTTTTTATATACATAGATCAATTGTAACAGTAATAATTCACTCATATAGAGTAATTGCCACATTTGTTTTTTATTGAGTCATGTATATAAACTGCACGCCTAGATGGAATTCCATAACGTCTCTGAGGAAGTGGGGCTGACACCCACGAAACGCGTAAGACAAGCCGACAGTGTGAGAGGACACAGGATACGGAGAACAGCCAGCTGTCAGCAGCAAGCACAGCTCCCTTCCCCATTGATCGGGGGACTGACGGACTGCCGGTATCAGACTATCACAGTGAGGTTTGGCACGCACGCCAACCTCGCAGCAGCCGGCAAGTACAGATACTGAAATCCTGTCACATAGTATCCACTGTAATCCTCATCGGTTACAGTGGTTATCAGGATACAAATTTAACATTTATGCTGACAACTGACTTGTAGATCGTTCCTGGTCCCCATTTTTGTATTTTTTGCACAATTGTACTGTGTAATTCATTAATTTTAATACATTTTCTCATTCATCTATTTTTTAATATTAATAAATATACATTTTTATTTTATATATTCTTCAGTGGTTTTTTGGAATTTTTTTAACTTACCTGCATTTACCTGTTTTTATATATAGAGATTAAGCTAATTCTATATCTCTGCGATATAAGTTATATATTGCCTATTTGCACCATCCAGTGTGCTACCTTATGATTTTAAGACATATTCATTATAATATTTTGTGTGTATTCTAAACCCCGTACAGATTACACTTTTGCTGTTGTGAATCTGTAATAATCAAGTTGCTTCAAATTTAAGCAGAGTATCTTGGTGTGTAACAGACTAAATCTGCCTTGAGCAGATTTAAAGGTATACACACCATACATATTTTTCCCGTCAATACTGGTTATTTTAGAAACGGATACAACTATTATATTGTCAACCAAGCCATATTATAGTGAATTAGCTCCTGAACTCACTACCTTGAAGGTATTACTCCTCTATTGGCTGTCTACTAGACAGCCACTAGAGGACACTTCAGTGTTCATAGAACACGAAAAGTGTTTTAAAACGCCGAAATCCCCATAGCAATATGCCATTGCAGCACATGCGCATTAGGTCACCCCGGCCAGCTGGCGTCGGCGGGGGAGGAGAGTAGGCAGAGCCTGACCCAGCGCTGGACTCCGGTAAGTCACTGAAGAGGTTTTAACCCCTTCAGCAACTTGGGATGGGGGGTGGGAGGGAAAGGGACACTAGAGGGTCCTGCAGTGCCGGGAAAACGGATATGTTTTCCTGGCACTGGAGAATCCCTTTAATGTTTTCTACTTTTCTTTTCCTGTGTTTAGCTCTCTCATTCTCACCTCGTGATACTGTCCTAGTTAGCAAGTGTTAGGTCTCTGTTTTTATTTTTCTATAGGACCACTATCTATCCTGCTTTGTTATTTACCAATATTTTAAAATGTGTGCAGACATGTAAAATGTTCTCTTGTAGACAATCTCTTATGCTATTCTTCGCAATGTCATTGTTACTCTGATTTCTGCAATGCACTACAAAAATAAAGAATAAAAATACATAAATATACATGTAGAATTTAAATATACACATATATCAATTTAAATACCACATATATATGTATTTTTTTATTACTGTATTTTTCTTTATATGTGCATACACACACTATTATATATATATATATGCACACACACACACACATCAAAATACAGGTAAAATGAAATTACTCCTTTTTTAAAATTTAGATTTTTTTCTTTATATACAGTTCCATGCTAAGCGTATTTTGATATTAAAATACACTATGAACGAAAATATATATTTCTCGCGATCACAGACACCCCCTTTGTATAATTAATTTCCCTACTTTATTTCAGCATTAGGGGAATTCCTGACAGCCCAGGCAGTCCGCCTGCGGCCAATCAAGCCCCCAGAGCCATGTGATCGTATACTCTCTGCAAAGGCAGCATTTACATTGAAAAGGCTAAAGGGACAGACTACAGGCACCAGAACAACTACATTAAGCTGTAGTGTCCCTTTAAGGCTTTTATATTTCTCGTAAATTAAACTAGTTTAAAAAACACTGGCTCCTAACTTTTTCAGCTGGCTCCTAGATTCCAAACAAAATTTGTCAAGCCCTGTGTTACAACACCTGAATGATCCAGATCAGCAAACTGCTAAAACTGCTGTTTTTGCAGAGGTAGTCACACTTGCTAATGCTTATTCTTAGAAGGTCATTTGATTAGCAACACCTGTCTGCTACTTGCCCTCTTAATGCTTATGGAAGCAGTAAGGTTGTACTTCGTTTTTCCACACATGGCTACTCAATTCTGGCTTAATTTTTGTTAAATAACTCATGACACTTTGTAATATGTCATGTGTTGTTGTTCATCTGAGGATGTATTAACCCAATTCTAAGATCTGCTAAGGAACAGATAATTGTTATGTCCGGATATGTAAAACCATAGAATTCAAAGAGGGTGTACTTCCTTTTTCTCATGACTGTATACACCAAAACTGCTTTATGAAGTTAAAATAGTTTGGTAACTATAGTGTCCGTTTAAATATATGGCAAGTGACACATCTGCATCCCTTCAATTTATTTTATTTGACAAGGTAAAAGCAACATACAAACCTCTAAAGAATTTATCTTCTGTAGCAAAGCCTCCTTCTCCAATTTCAGCTCCCTATTCTCATCCAGTATTTTCTTATCAATTTTCATTCCATCTCTGGTAGTCGTGTCTGTTATACTCTTTAACCTGTACCCAATATAAGATTATAAATAAGAGGACAAATAGGACAGTAAATAATGGAAATATGCAATAATCATTAAAGCGGTTCTGTCACTTTGTACTCCACAAATTGAATATCCCAGTGTAAATACAGTTTATTAAACGACTATTTGCATGAGAAATCCGCATTTTTATAAATCATTTAAGAATTACCTCTTAGGCGGTCAGCCAGCCAGGGAGGTTTTCTTTTGCTTCCGTTAGCTCCACTGAGCGAATACAAGTGCCAGTGAGCCTGTGCCTTCTGTCCAGCTTCAACATGCAGCAAGCACCCCCTCCCAGTATAGAATCAGTGAATTTTGCAAGTTTGGAGATTGTTTTTTCTTTTTGCAAATTATGCAAAGACCGATAATGACAGACCCGCTGTAAGAGAATAAATCTGTATTCCCAACGCTATAATGCCCATGTCCATAGTTATATAGAGGGCTCCCTGCTTGTCATAATGAAATAAAATGTGTTTAATCCAATGCCAAGACTCCCACACACATCTCCACCTCCCGCAACATTATCAAGGAGTCACAGCTTCCTCTGGCAATGTTCCATTCCTAACCTAATGCACATGAACTGTGAGTGTCACACGCGCAACCAATGCTTTTCACATTGTAAGACAGTTTTATTCTGTCAATGTAGCTAAAGTGCCTTTCATGGCTGTTAATATGACCCTTTCAAGGTAAACACTGATCATTCTACAAAATGTTAATGTTATCCTTGAAGAGTTAAACATACAGGACCACTGCGTCCTTCATTGAGATGAAGAGGTGTAGGTGACTTTAGTGGTACTGAAGGGAAGATTAAACTGAAATAAAAGAGGGGGAAAAAAAATACATGAGTCACTATACATACCTTACAGTCGACAAATTGTTGCCATTCAGATTTTCTTTACGCAATTCAGGTACTCTGTGGTCATTAGAGCAGGGATTAAACATTGGAAAAGATTTTGGTTCTCGCATAGGAAGCCTTTCTAACTTTTTGAACTTCCATGGAGCTTGCTGCTTTGCATTGCTCTGTTGCTCATCTGCAATGTCTTCCACTTTATTTGGACTACTGACTATTTTGCATTTTTCAGCAAATCCCTTTTTGGCCATCTCCTCCCCAATATCAAGGTTTCCATGAATGACCTGGACAATAACAGTGCCGTCTTTGTATGTAGCTTTTTGCTGCACAGAGATTTGCTTATCAGCTATGAGAGTGGTGAGTAACTTCAGGCCCTGTTAGCAAATTGGCAAAAAAAAAAAATTACAAAATTACAAAAGCACTTAACATACAAGCATAAAATGTATACTGTCCAAACGTATACAAGAACAGAATTAAAAACAAACAGGAGATGTGCTATTTTAGGCTTGTTCACCTTTTCTAACAATTCTAAATAATGAATTCGGCAGCTATACCCCCTTCTGCTAAATGGACATCCAGAGGTCTTGTGGAGGTGGATTTGTATATCTTTTCTCTGACAGAGTATTGTACAGATCTACTGAAGTCGAGAATGCACTTCAAAAAGTTATTCACCGACAAGTGTTAGGACAAGCTCTACCGCCCATCACAGAAAGCAAGATCTTCAGCATTTAAAAGGGATACTCTAAGCACCATTTAAAGTGTGAAGAAATTATAAGTAGAGATGAAAACAGATACAATAACATACTGGCACTGAGGAAAAAAACTAAAAATAGCTAATTAAATTGTTAGGTGCAAAACCTCAAAGCATTCCCTCAAATGCCTTCAAAAATGATTTCTAATTAACAAAATAAGAATGCACACTATAACACTAACAAGTATAATATACTTATAAATCTTTCATTAGATATACCAATAAATAAATATACAAAAACGAAAAATATAAAGCGACCAAAAAGAGGCACTTGAGAAAGGCAGCAGGAGTGTTGCCTTAACGTTGGGGGATTGGTTACTTGGATACTTATACTTTTAGTTTTGCCTCTTTTTGGTAGCTTTATTATATTATATTAGTTTTTTGTATATTTGTTTATTGGTAAATCTAATAAATGATTTGTAAATGATACCATTGTACAGCGCTATGGAATGCGATGGTGCTATATAAATAATAAAATAATAAAATATATTATACTTGTTAGTGTATTAGTGTGCATCCTTATTTTGTTGAATATAGAAAACAGCAAGAGCAAAACAGGCCATAATAAAATAAAAAAAGAGAATTATAGACATACAACACATGCATGGCTATTATTATGAACTACTATCCCAAAGCTGCTCTATGAATCTAGTGCCTCTCATGGTGGAGTACTGGATGCACACCCAGCCGCAGTATACTACAGACATTGGTTCAATCACTGACTTTGTTTTAGCCCAAAGACACTAGTGACTGAGTTACTTGGGGCATGAGGATTGCAAAATGTAAGCAATATGATTTCTCAGAAAAGGCCTGGTTTTCAATAGCAAGTCTGCAGGGGCTGCATCTATGTCCCAGAACACTTCATTAAAGGACCACTATAGGCACCCAGATAGGATTAACCTTTTTTTCTGTAAACATTGCAGTTTCAGAGAAACTGCTATGTTTACCTATGGGTTAATCCAGCCTCTAGTGGCTGTCTCATTGACAGCCGCTAGAGGGCTTCCGCGCTTCTCACTGTGATTTTCACAGTGAGAAGACACTTGCGTCCATAGGAAAGCATTGAGAATGCTTTCCTATGGACTGGCTGAATGCGCACGCGGCTCTTGCCGCGCATGCGCATTCAGCCGAAGAGGAGTAGAGGAGGCGGAGTGGAGGAGGAGAGCTCCTTGCCCGGCGCTGGAGAAAGAGGTAAGTTTAACCCCTTCCTCCCCCTAGAGCTCGGCAGGAGGGGGACCCTGAGGATGGGGGCATTGACAGCCGCTAGAGGGCTTCCACGCTTCTCACTGTGAAAATCACAGTGAGAAGACGCCAGCGTCCATAGGAAAGCATTCACAATGGACTGGCTGGAAGCGCGCGCGGCTCCTGCTGCGCATGCACATTCAGCCGAGGAGAGTCCCCCGCCCGGCGCTGGAGAAAGAGGTAAGTTTAACCCCTTCCACCCCCCCAGAGCCCGGCAGGAGGGGGACCCTGAGGGTGGGGGCACCCTCAGGGCACTATAGTGCCAGGAAAGCACTATAGTGGTCCATTAAGAGGACATAGTGCTTAATGTACCTTTAAAGTGTATCCTCTTTAAAACCTGTGTTGAGAAAATACATTCCAACAGAATGTTCACCTCTTTGGCATATAAAATATATTTAATATCATTACAACAACCACAAAACAAAACACTTATTTATATTAAAATATAACAAAAACCCTGGAACTTACTGTAAATTAATTGGAATAACACTTTAGTAGAGGATAATAGGGGTGCACCGAAATTAAAAAAAATTCAGGATGCCCTTGGGCGAAAATGACTATTTTCCCCAAATGATTTTAAAATAGTTTTTTCTATAAATCTATTAATATTAGACTTCATGAATCTAATATGAAAAACGAGCCAATAAAATAACCACACTTTTATTAAAAGTAACACCAAAATTGGACAGAAAATAACTTTAAAAAAATAAAAATCTGTTAAGTCTGTTTGTTATATAGGACTGATGAATATTATATTTTTGATATTAATTTAATATCAATATACATTCTTCATTCAGTTCAATGTAACAATCAGATTTAACAGATTATTTTTTTCTCTGTATTGCAGTCACTCAGCATCGCTGTATTGCAGTCAGTTTATAATGTAGATATGTAGGTGTAGAATAGTCTCCTGTCTGTAATGAACCTTTCCAGTCTCACTCACACTCAGTTCATGTGTTACAAAGCATGTCTTCATGTTACACATTGGTACAGTGTTATTGGTTGCAGAGTCAAACAGTTCTCACACTCTGCCCATACTCTCTGTAGAGTTTAACATTATTCCTGCCCTCATCCAAAATGGCCACTCGGAAACAACCACTTCCTGTTACATCATATCAGTGTTCTTTAATAATGTAGGAGGTGGGTATTCTAATATCCATATTAACAGTGTTTTTATATAGCAATACATATTGAGATAGCTGTAGGGTGTAATTGCGATACCACACGCAGGGGATGGGAGAGGGGGGGGGGTATTTTCTGCAGATTTGACCCTTTTTCGGACGAAATGGGATAGGCCCATTCTCGGACGAAAATTTCGGTTCATCCCTAAAGTATAATATGTAATCCTATTTTTCTTACAAAAATATGGCAGCAAAGTGGCCCTCTAGCCGATGTGGACCAGGTTTCCAATAATGTTCAGTAAATCAGGAGGAGTAACAGATTTACATAATCATAACATACTAGCAAATGTATTAAATGTTATAAAAGAAATAGGGACAGTACCTGCGGTGCATCAGTTGTTATGGAATTTCAATACCCCATTATTAATGGAGGGGAGATATACATGTTCCTGGTATGCAGTGGTTAGTGTAATATATTCATCCTCACCTTTCAGTATCTGCGCTCAGGGGCCATGCAACAGTGTACCAACTCCTGCGGCATGTTGCGGGCCGCCGGCCGCTGCAGATCAACGCCAAATTATAGGCCCACTTCCGCCCACGATGATGACGTCAGAATGCGTGTGACGTCACAAGGGAGACGCGCGCACACGTTCTGGGGTCAAAGGCCGATTTCGGCCAATTGGAAATGTTTAAGGCTTATACGCATTCTTTCTTTCCCTCTTTGCCCTGTCGTAGTTTCCCTAGTGGTTGTCAGAGAGTGTGTTTCTGAGCGTTTATTTCTGGTATTTGACTCTGGCTTCCTTTGACTTCCCTGTATTCTGGTATCCCTGACTTTTGGTTTTCCCTCATCGTTGTGTCTCATTCTGTATCCCCGAACTCGGCGAGTATTCTGACTATTCTCTGGTACGTTAAGTCCGGCCATTCTAAGGCCCGGTAAGACGTTACCTGTTAGTCCTAGGTGTGATACAGTTCTACGTGCTGGATCAACTTGTAATCCTGACAATTAGTACCTACCAAACCTGGTGCAAGAAAGGAAAACCAGTGAACTGGTATCAGGGTCATGGGCTCCCAAAGCTCAGCGATGCACATGGGGAGCAAAGGCTAGTCTGTCTGGTCTGATCACACAGAAAAGTTACTGTAGCTCAAATTGCTGAAAAACTTAATGTAGGCTATGCTAGAAAGGTGTCAGTAGATCGGTCAGAGTGCCCATGATGATCCTTGTCCATGGCCAAAAGCACCTTCAATGAGAAAGTGAGCATCAAAACAGGATCATGGAGCAATGGAAGATTGTCTAGACTGATGAATCAAGTTTTCTTTAAGATCAGGTGGATGGTGGGGTACGTGTGCACCATTTACCTGGGAAAGAGTGTGCCGCAGGGTGCACTATGGGAAGAATGCAAGCAATGTCTTGCTGGGTCCTGGCATTTATGTGCATGTTATTTTGTCATGTACCACCTACCTAGGGCTTGTTGACGACCACGTACAAGCCTTCATGGCAATATTGTTCCCTGATGGCAGTGACCTCTTTCAGCAGGATTATGCCCCCTGCCACACTGCAAAAATTCTTTAGGAATGGTTTGTAAAACATGAGTTCAAGGTGTTGCCTTGGTGTCCAAATTCCCCAGATCTCAATCCCTTTAAGCATTTGTGAGATCTGCTGGAACAACAAATCCGATCCATGGAGGCCCTACCTTGCAACTTATAGGACTTAAAGTGTCTGCTTCTTAGGTCTTGTTGCCAGATACCACAGGATACAGAAGTCTTATGGAGTCCATGCCTCAACCCATTAGTGCTGTTCTGGCAGACGTGGGGGACGTACATGATATAAGTCAGGTGGTTTTATTGTTGTGGCAGATCAGAGCATATTGACAAGTGTGTGCAAAGGGCATTACAATACAGAAAATGCAAACATAAGTGTCATAGAAAGTAAAATAAACTGCAAATTGTTAGCAACCATAATATCACATAAAAACCTGAAAACATTCAGCATATTACCTGTTCAATATCAGTGCGTGTTTTGAGCTGTAGTCCCCAGAGTCTGTATTTCTGGGCAACAGGTGAAAACTGCAAGTCTTCTGGAAGTTCAACTATGCTTGATCTGTTTAAAATTTCGGAATTTCCATAGTCAACATATGTGACAGAACACTAAAATGAAAACAAAGTAAATATGATTTTACAAGGATTTGTTTTATTTATTTTTTTAACATAAAAAATGTTTTTTTTTCCATCCAAACCACAGAAGGCCCAATTTCCAGAGCTGATCAAATAGTCTGGTACAGTATTGTAAGTTAGTAGGGCAGTTAAAGCATAGTCAGAAGACCTTACAATTGAAAGAGATGGGAGCTTTATAGACAGTAAAGAAACAAAAGAATATGAAATCATCAGGTAAATATATATATTTTATAATAGTTATTTTTTTTATTGCCTTTAACCCCTTAAGGACACATGACATGTGTGACATGTGTGACGTGATGATTCCCTTTTATTCCAGAAGTTTGGTCCTTAAGAGGTTAAAAGAGGTGACTGTAGAAGAAGCAGCCAGATACACTCAATTCCAAACAGAACTAGCAGTTACAAAGTTATGTGCAAATTTCAAAACACCAGCTAAGGACAACTTCCCAGTATAAGAAGGACAAAATGTGTGGCTGGGGGGGGTGGAGGGCCCTCACCCAACGCACAAGCCCTCTTCCCGGTCAAAGAGAAACTGATGACCACTGCAAGAGATCAACTGCCTACCTTTTAAGGACAACCTTTACATTTCTTCTAAGACCTGGCGCTTTCCACACTGCGTCAAAGGAGGGAACTCAAGCCTCTCACTAACGCACGGTCTCTCCAAGGATGGAAATATATGTAGGGTCATCCCTTTAAGCTAATCGTGAAAAAGTCAACCAGACATACAAAATGACGGACTTTGCAAACCACATCGGCATAACACCAATCAACAACCACAAGGAACATTGGGCCAACAAAGGGACCATGGGCCCAGACCAGGAGGACATCCACTCCCACCCCGTCAACACCAAAGAAAGAGGCCCCTGTCAATTAGGCAAGGAGCGCACCAAGGACCCACTTGATCCTACCCGTAGGGCTAAGAACACTCCTTACCAGAACGGCAGTTCTCATTCTGACCAACAACCCCCTCACAAAGATATTGTTTATGCTTATACTCGGTTTAAGTTAACCCAGGTTTATTCTTTAATGGTATTGTACTCGGGCCCAGGCTCATATCTAGCAGATACCTCGTCACCAGGTTCATGAGTATATACCACGCTCACCAAGCCCGGGCACCCACATATTTTAGCGTCATGCTTTATGCCGCAAACTCAACCGCACAGTGTCACCAAGTGCGGACCCAAACCCATCTCACGCAGACAAGTTGTTTGCCTACACATAAGATTTTCTAGGGCATACTGCCCCTAATGAGGCGACATACCCCAAGCTAAGAAACCCCAGGGGTAATGGTCAAACTTTATGTTTTACGCTACACCACACTAACTTAACAATTGCAACAAAAGTGGGCTCGGACCTGTCCCAAGCAGACGCATTTTATATATGTTGTTTCATTAATGTGTTAATACGATCATAATAAGCACACCACCTTTACTGAGGCAATGTACCTGGAACGGGGAACCTCCATTCTTTATACCCTTACTTTATGGTTTTATGCTAAACAATGTTGTCCACACGGGCAGACCAAGATCCGACCCATGTTACTAGGCTAATATGATTTACGGGGCACACCATCCAACAAGACAATACACCCAGAGTCAGGGACGTCCACAGTATAGGCCCGTATTTTCTTATATGGTATTTTATTTTATGCTACTACTGTATGCTTTCCGTTTAATGAGGTATATAAGGTGCCCAATAACGGGAGCCGGGGTCCGCTCTTAGCAGACAACTGGTCACTACGCCCACAAGGGAAAACAGGGGAATCCATCTCTACTGAGGCAACACACCCTGTTCTGGGTATAACCGTAGTTGACAGGGGCGACATTGGACACTCCCCGGGCACCACCTACTACCGCCCGCAACATGTGGATAACCACGGGAGGATAGTAACCCTTTAAATAGAAACCTATCTGGGAGGCCAATGATCCCCTAGATCAGGGTTTCTTAACACAGTCCTCAAGGACCCCCTACCAGTCCAGGATTTAGGGATTACCTGGGTGTGTCTAAGGTGTTTAGAAAAACACCTTAGAGTCAAAGGTGTTTTTTTTCCCCCTTTTTCTAAACACTTTAGTCACACCCAGGTAATCCCTAAATCCTGGACTGGTAGGGGGTCCTTGAGGACTGGGTTGAGAACCCCTGCCCTAGATGGACTGGGGCCATGGCACCCCTAACAACCGGGGACCGGCCATACACACCTCCCGGGAATTAAACCCTCCATTCGCCACACAAAATACCATTGGGCAATGGGTTACCTGGCCCCCTCCTATCCCATACCACCTACACCCGGTGCAATTGCCTTTATATACACACATACACAGGTCCCGATGGCAAGGGGATCCCGGAAATAGTAAGACGCTACCCTTGACCCTTACAAAGACCCCTTTAAATAACGAGTCTCAGGGCCCACATCGGTTTCCCCCATAAGGGACTCTGGTTCCCAACGCCTGACGGGGATAGCGCATCCACTAAACAACAGACTACGGGATGCCCCGCAAGACGGACGGGCGAACCAACCACTTGACAGGGGGTACAGACCTAAACTAAGTTACTACGGACGCCATCTGAATGACAAATATGCATGTACCACCCTAATCCTAGCAGTGGCTCCCCCGCACGCACATTGCATCCAAACGGGTACAAACCCTGCAAGCTCCCACTGTGACAGTACCGAACGGTAAAGATATAGACTGTTCATATTGTTGACAAAGATGTAAACACACACACCAGTAGGGCAGACACCAGACCTAAGCCTGACACCCCTCTAGCTCTCCCGAAAGATCTGCTGACACAAAGGAACACACTCCACACTCATACCTTATTTCCCAGAAGACCGGACCGACTCTGCCTTCTCAAAACCTGACCACTCTGGTATAAGTCAAGGCTGTATTTTTCACATACCCAGACCTCCTTACTTTCTCCACACCCTCTACCCCAGCTCCGTCTCCCCCAACCTCAGTCTTTTACCCCTACCCCTCTAAGCTAGTGAATTTCTCAGAGGCCAAACCAGTCCTCCAAACGCACACTCCAACACCTCCCTGAAGGGACATATCCCACCACTGAAGAAACAGCCCAACATGCCATCGTCTCTGTCCTGTGTATCTATCAACTGCAAGGGTTTGAATAACCCCTCCAAACGCCACCAACTCATGAGATGTGCAAACAGAACCCACTTCACCCAAGCCAGACCATTCCCTCTCCTGAGCCGGCATTTTAATAAATGTTTCCTGGCCAGCTCCCCAACTGGCAAACAGACCCCCTGGGTCGTGACATAATAGTCGTGGGCCGAATAGGCCCCCTTAAATACGCACTCAGCTCATTATATGCACCTAACAGCTCCTTCTGGAAGACCATGCAAGCTCACCTTTCGCTCTTCTCCTCACACTATTTGATAGTAGAGGGAGATTACAACGTCACCCTATCCCTCTCAATGGACAGACGCAGAGCTATATCTTCCATGAACCGCCAACCCCCTACGACTAAATCAGACAAACTCTTCCATCCCGCACACACCTGCTAGACGCCTGGAGAATACAACATGCGAAATCCAGGGAATATTCCTTCTTCTCCCACCCAAACCACACGTCCATATAGACCATTTTTTAATCTCCCCTTCCCTGGCACCCATAGTCTCATCCACGTCAATTGGCTCCATAACATGGTCTGACCACGCAGACATCAGTCTGCAAATCACATTACCCGATACGGCTAAAACCTGGTCCTGGCGACTCAACCCCACCACACAACCCAAACATCGAGGAAGCCACCTTACGAAAATCTCCAAATGCCAAAAAATTGCCATAACAAATGTAAAACACTTATATACCTTGTGACACAGAACAAAATGAAAACTTTACCTGTACAAGAATGTCATTGACTACTATTGCTTAATATTGAACTATGTATAATTATCGTAAATACTCAATGTACATTGTATCCAATTATAACCTTCTGGATTCTTTCCTTTCTGTACCTCTTCGCCCCCTATGAAGAAAATTTTGAAAAACTTTCCACAAATAAAGAAAAAAAATTATTTTTTTAAACTTAAAAAAGAGAAAGTGGCCTCTTTCTAGATCTGTATCAAAAGAAAGCCCAAATAAGATCAATAGTAGAATGGCAAATCTGTCAAGCAGTAAAAGTGATCTTAGACTTTTGCTTGTTGGTCACTACAGAAGCATTCATAACAATTCTAGGCCCCTAAGAGAATTCCTGAGTTGAAGGTTTCCAATTCAACTATTCGGTCCTAAATATTTCATAGTTAATTTTTTTTTAAACCTCATGATTTAGTGAAAAATGCTTAGTATCGGTGTTGCTTTGGCAGTCTTCACATAACACAGAAGAACTCTATAACCATATCCAGACTGTAAGGAGAGATTTGTCACTTATGTCTCAGATAAAAAGAAAACAAAATCCTGAGCAGAAGAGGCAACAGGCATTGATCAAGGATAAACTACAAATCACTGGAGTGATAAGAAACAATATACAGGAAATGCATATGTGCACAACCCCCATATGCAGGAGGTGGGATAAGAGGCAAAAGGAGGTGGGGACAAAACACCTTAGCACAGGAATTCAAACAGACTGACAAAAAAAAAAAATTACCAATTTAATCCTCAGTTCACCAAGCAACCTTACATGCAGAACTAGAAAAAGTGCGGGGCAAACTACAAAACAGGGATAGAAAAGCATTAGTTAAAAGGAAAGGCGAGAAAAACTCGACTGCTTTCTTTAAAAAAAAAAAAAAGGCACCTCAGAGGGGATATGATGGCAATATATAAATCTCTACAGGATCAGTACAAACTGCTATGTGCCATCCTGTTTAGTAGCAGAAATATACAACAGACAAAAGGTCGCCCATTGAAACTGGAAGAAAGGTGCTTTCACTTACAGCAGAGGAAAGGGTATTTTATATTAAGAACAATAAAAATATGGAGTGCTCTGCCTAAACGGGCTGTTTTATCAGATTATATAGATAGTTAAAATTAAAAAGGCTTGAATGTTTTTTTTTTTTTTTTTTGCATAAACAAAATATTCAAGGATATAATTGATATGTATGTAAACAGGTTGCTGATCCAACGAGAAATCTGCATTGTGGAGTCAAGAAAAAAAGGTTTCTGAAATTAGAGGGTACTCAACAGACCAGGAAGTCCGTTTAATCTTGAAGAAATCGCATCCCATTGCCCCCTCACTGTTTTTGTAACAGTTGCATAGAGGCTATTGGATCATCGCTAATTAGGTCTATAGAATATCTACAGTGTGTGTATTAAGACAAGAAATGCAATAAGACAACGACAAGAAATGCAATAATGAGATACAACTATAAAAAACGCAATTGAGAGATGCAATACTATATGAAGAACTAAACATGTTATTTTGTATTTTGTTCAAAAGCCTTGCTTTCTCAACTTGTGTGCTATCAAACTGCTTTTTAACATGTGACAAACCCACTGTGGAACTGGCTCATCATTAATCCAGTTATACAAAAGAATTTCTGGACAGCAACAGAAAAGTCATAAGATCAGATCCAGTAACACGGACGTGCTACCTTCGAGAGAAAATGGAGCAGAGGGACTGAAAGAGGGAGGGTCATATCCCTTAGAAGGACACTGTAGAATTATAAATACTGTATTTGTAATGCTATAGTTTTCATTTCCCCTATTGAATTCAGCCTCCGCCACCTCCCGTGCCATAAATATATATATTTTTCTTTTTAAATAAAAGTTAAAACTATATAAATTACATAGAGGAGCAATCAAATGATTCTCATACAGAAGCAAGCACTCTGAGCCGGGGAGGGTGGGAGTGGAACAAAGGAGGGCTTTAAGCCCTTAAGAACCAATGACAGAATTATTATGTCATGGTTGTCCTTCACTTAAGGAGCCATGAAGGAATAATCCCATCATGTGGTATTTTACCAGCAGGGACAGTTTACCTGCTGGTAACTGAGAAGCCCATCTATCATGCTAGCTTAGGATCCCCTCTATAAGCTGGTGTTCGAATTAGTGGCTCCAGTTTGACAATGCGGGAGTCCCAGGTATCAATCGATACCTGGGGCCCATCTCTGTCAAACAGGGCCATAATTAGTGGCCAAAGACTTTTTGATGAGCTGCATGCACAGTTTTAGCTTAAAATTCCTTCGCTAATATCAGCACCAATAGTAACAGAGGGAAACCCCTGGGATTAGGATGGGGAAAAAAAAAAAAAGTATGGATTAAGATAAGGTTTTGGAAAAGTATTAGGGTTATAATTATGGTTAGGATTAGATATGAGATTAAGAATTGGATGGTTACATTGCAAAAGTGCACACATGGGGTATTGTACTCAGGAGATGTTGCAGAGTACAGGTTAGACAATTGTATTACAGTGGGACACTTGAAATTTAAAAATTAAGCAGCAAAAATACAAAGTATATGTAAAAGTTAAAAATACAACAGACTGAAAAATTGACACCTCAATAGAGCTCAAAATAGATCATGTGAGATTTGCATATTCAAATATGTAAGCTACTAAAATGCACCATGGAACAAATCTTCAATTTTTTTTTTTAAAGAAATTAAATTAAGCAAGTTATACATTCAGCTCGCTAGTTTCCCAAAAACTTGACATTGGTACACAAAGGAGATCATTCTGTGCTCAGGAGAGACATCCGAGAACAATTTAGTGGATTTTAATACAGTAGCACAAATCAAGTTTACAAAATAAACTGCTAACTTGCAATGTGCATGAAAAAAAAAAAAAAAAAAGGGGAAAAATACTTCTGTGAATAAGTAAAAACGTAACATTTGTATAAACAGATAGAGATATATATATATATATATATATATATATATATATATATATATCTCTCTATCTCGTCAAATTCCACAGCGCTGTAAAATAGGTAAACAAAACAATATAATCTAAGAAAACGGGTTTGACAGCTCTGAAGCTTTTCCGATGTACAATTTCTGTATTTTAGCAAATATTTCAGAAGGTTTCAAGTCTTCCGTACCCGCATGTATAATAAATATAATGTATGAACACAGATGGGGAGATGATAACATATGTAAATCATTTTATACAATTATAATTCATATATACTGTTATAGTGCAAAACAACTCCAAATCAGGGTGACACAATAGTGTAGTAAACTTTTATATGTAAATTTATTAAAACACTAATAAGCAAAGCAATATCTTCCTTACCTGTTCATCATTAACAACATACTGTAACTTACATCTGTACCAGCACTTGTCAGCAGAGAACAACCCAGCATAAATCTGCAAAGTTTGAAAAGGATAAAAATTTACATTAAAAATAAACACCAGAAAGAAAAAACAAAATATTAAATGTGACATTAATAGATTAAATAAAAATCTATACCAATGTCTATTTTTGCATGGTAGGATATATATTGAGAGTAACATTAGGTGGTCCGAGGCTCCACTGCTTCCTACAATGTGGTAAACTATTCTAACAAGCATTTAAGGATAGGGGCCCACACCATCTTAATACTAAACCCACACTCATAGCAATTTCATGAGCACACACAGCCATTAGACAAGCATAGATCTGTTCCCAGGTTAAAGGACCACTATAGGTACACACAACACTTCATCTCAATGAATTAGTCTGGGTGCAGTGGTCCTGGACTTTTAGTCCTGCATTGTAAAACATTGATGTTTGTGGAAATGGAAATGTTAAAATTGGAGGGCTAAACACACCTCTAGTCAATTGACGCTTTCCTATAAGAAGCATTTGACTGGACAGGTGTGGTGCATGCCGCTCATGAGCTTCTTGTTCCCATTGCAAGGAATGCTAAATCCCCTGGTTTTGAACATTTCACTGGTCAGCAAAGCACATCAAGAATGATAGTTTCAATGATACCATTCTATTGCCAGGATAGCAACGGAAGAAACTCAGAATGCAGAAATGGACTAAAGAAAATTAAGCCAAAGCAAGGTACCAGCAAAGAAAATATGCATCAAAAACAAAGTTGAAGGTCTGTTCAAACAGCAAAGGTACTTAGGAATAGGATAGGGCACAGGTCAAATACCAAACAGAAAATAGGAGTGTAAACTAGGCAGCTTGTTCACAGAACAAGGAGCACAGAAGTGCTGGTGACTGGGCTTTATATAGGGTGTGGGGAGGGGGTGTAAAGGATACACATCATCATTTCGCCCTTATTGTCACAACCTCCCCTTCCTCTTCAAAATCTGCCATGTTCAGCCCATACTCTCCTTGAATGTTAAAATGGGGAGCTCTGCTCTCCACCATAGTCCATGGCAGATTATGCCACAAAATAAATCCATTAAATAGATTCAACATGGTAAATTTGAAGAATAATAGTTTTACCTTGTCAAGATCAGGAATTCCAAATACAGTATTCATCGACTGGCAAACCTTGGCTAAGGATTCACTCAACTTAGAAATGTCATGGATTCTAGACAATGGCTGTGCCCAAAATGTAACCGCATCTTCCACGTGTGAAACATATACATTCTCTACTGCAAAATAAAACAAGATTCCATTTAGGTTTTTACAAATCTGTAAAACTATTGATATTTAAATTCTATTACAAAATGTAAATCAAACAGAAAATTACCTTTATTGAATACAGGCTCTCCCTCCATATTGCTATTCAACTGGAATCTTAGGGGAAAATATATACATATGTATATTTAATATAGGTATAGAAACATTAAAATAGATACACAAACATTTTTTGAAAATTGTTCAGAATCAAAGTGCCACCAAGTGGTAAAAAACTGCACGTGTGGGGAAAGTTGCAATGGGATGATAGAGAGGAGGAGGCTGCAAAAGTACAGGTAATACTAAAATCATTTTAGAGAAGAATATATCATCTTCCCTGGGTAAAATGAGCAGTCTGATATTATGCATACTTGAGGGTGTGGACAAATGTAAAATTCCAAATGTCAATAACGGTTGGTGTCAAGAAAAATATATTTTTTTTAATAATGTCATAACTGAAATTAGCATGCTTATTTGAAGGAGGAGGAAAAAAAAATTAAAAAAAAATCTATATACTGATGAATGGGACACCTATTTAGGGGACATTTTTTATCTAGGTTACAAGTACAAACTTACCATTTCATCAAATTGAACCTGTCTTGACAGATATGTTTGCAGTTTTCTAACCACCTGGCTTGACTCACGTTATATAATTTCCAGATTTTCCTAGTCATTCTAGCTTCTGAAGTTTATTTATTTATATTTATTTATTTAATGACAAGAGGAAAATATTATGCAAGGCCTTTTTTTTTTTTTACTACCTCAAATATTATTGCAACAATAGCTATACTTATTTCACAAGCTCACTAAGGAGTTATGAGGAAATATATATACTGTAGTCATGTTATTGTGAATATAGTATAATATATTTGTATATGTTACACTGTAAGAAGAAAGAAGAAGAAAATGGCAACGAGATTATCTTCATATGACAGACAGAAAATTTTGTGAGGAAACATTTAACAAAAATTGGTTATACTAGTGAGTGAGGATAAAGGAATATATGTACAGGTTCCAGAGTCTGCATACACTCTAGTAAACTACTACTACTACTAGAGTGTATGCAGACTCTGGAACCTGTACATATATTCCTTTATCCTCACTCACTCATTTTTGTTAAATGTTTCCTCACAATCCCCTTTTCTCCCTCTATATACGCCCTCAGCACCTATATGTGGTCCTTTGGACATGTCTAATTTTGGACACCCACGAGAATCACATTAGATCAAGAGAGGCAGTCTATTTAGGAACATCTTTTGTATAATACCAATAAAGTATCTTCTAGATTTTTATCAAAGGGACAGAATCTCTTTCTTTTGAATATGTTACACTGTATGTTATTGCTTATCAACTTTAGAATAATCAATGTATTATAAGATTTAAAAAAAAAAAATCAATAAGTTCAATATCGCACTCAAATATGTGAATTTGTAAAAAAAAAAAAAAAAAAACGGAGTGGAGTGGAGTCAATTGATAAATATGCAAAAAAGAACAAATTATACAATTTATGTACATCAATTCATAGGTAATATGTGAATCACCGTAATAATTTGATATCCTTATGAATTCATTGATTTTACCGACTTCATCGTATACACATCCCAGAGTATGTACAGTTATTTACAGTATACATACACACAATATAAATAGAGTTCGACCGTTCATTGGTGTTCAGGTGGATCCACCACTAAATAGTTCTCTTTGTTTAGAAAAATGTATATACATCACAGAAAAAAAATGAAAAGTGTAGAAAAAATGAAAAAAATAAAATAACGAAAAAAAGGAAAAATATAAAAGATCAATATGGAAAAAGGAAAATATAAGAGAAAACTTGATAATTGGATGTTCAATGTATATACAGAAAAAGAGAAAAAAAGTTGGTTGGATCTCACCGATTGAGGATTGCAATCCCAAACTTCCAATAATCCAATAGTAGTAGGATGTCCAATAGTTGTTAAATAAGGTGTAACACCAGAGTCCCTTAATCTGCAAACAGAGAAATCGGGGTAGACTCCTACACTGTGTATGTCCAGTTTCAGAACTCCTTCATGTTGCTAGATTCCCTTGTCATCATGGAAACAAGCAATACAAATCACTAAAAAGACTTCTAGCAGCTTGTACCACTAGGAGGCATATTGCAAAATCCTTATGCGATGGTACTTGGTATTTGCAAAGCTATCACACATATATGTTAGCGCCTCTTCCACGTGTTGGAGATGTACAGGCCAAATGGCACCCTACAACACATTTTCTGGGACCGTCCGTCCATCACACAATTCTGGCTAGATATTAGCACGTTTTTCCAGGCATTAAAAATTGACATCCCACTATATCCATAATGTTACATACTGCATGTATTCCCTACCTCATTACCAGAGGACGCAAAAAACAGTGGTGTTACACTGTAATAGCTGTGAAAACCACAATTGCCCTAGCACGTTCATGGCTAAAAGTAGATATGCCACCCTTAAAGAGAGTAATTTCTGATATAAAAGAAATATACCTAATGGATAGCTTGACAGCCCGGGTAAGCGGAACCATGTCTAGATTCGAAAAAATCTGGAAACCCTGGACAAACAGCGACCTTTCCGACGATATACCTTGATCCACCCCCACCTCCCCTATAGGAACAGGACACAAACAGACGAAGACCCCACATGGTCTGGGAGTGCGGGGCGGGGCTCCGGGGGCCCCTGCGCCACGCCAAACTGACGTATTCCCTCCTCCCCCTTACTATCTTTTACTCTTTCTAAACTATTTCTTCCTCCTCCTTATTACACCGGGAGGGGACCTGGGCACCAAAACCCCCACATAATGATAAACATAAAGACCCCTGGCTGGACCAGGGCCAAACTACACAGGACAGGTGACACAATCCCCACCCAAAAATCATCACATTCTTACGATAATGTCAGTTCCCTATCCTTAAAGGTTTAGTTTATCGCATACTGCTGGTCCGACACTCAGGTTATAAAAACATAAAAGTGAAATGTGCTTGTTGTATCTCATAAAAGACAAGCTTAACCGAAAACATGAGAAAGAAATGTAAAATGAACAATGTTGGAAATCTATCACAAGAAACCTTTGTACATCAAAAATGTATGTTGTATTTATGACAAGGCTTTCACGTAAAAATAAAAGATTTTAAAAGAAAAAAAAGAAAACCACAATTGCCTACAGATTGAAACAGACACAAGTCCCCACACTGAATGACGTTCTAAACAAACTTGATACCTCTAGCCAATACAAAAAAAATTGCCTGTCTTAAGGGTAAGAAGGGGAAATTAAAAAAAAGTGGCAAAAATATGGCAATAAGGAACTCGCATATGTAAAGTTTAAAAAGATATACATTTTTTAAAAAGCTCCAAGCGCTCTTTTTTCTTTTATTTCTCTATGCAAAGGTTTCCACACCATATACTTATACAATGATGCTACACAAATATATGTATGCGCCCAATGCTGGGATGGCTATTTCCAAACTCAGGAGACGCATGACTGGCAGTATAGGGTCAAAGTGTGTCAATATGAAAAATAGGTCACTAGGAATGGGGCTGTCGGGTGGTAGGTGTCTGTGCTGCAATTAAAACAGATGATGATACTAAATAGTGCTCTCACGCATCCTTTGCTCCTCCCCCCACCATATGCTGTTTCTTTCCCCGTCCCTTTTTCTCCCCCATTTTCTTTTTCCCTCATGTTCGACAGCTTTCCTTATCATCAGTCACTCTGTTTTACATGATGTAAAGGCACAAAGGAGACAGAGATACAGGTCATAAATAACATCCTGACAGTGGACCACCCACAACAGAGTACATAAATTAGTACTAAAGACATATATGCTATACTGCTCAAATCTACCTATGGACAAGTGATGTCTAGCTAGATATGTTTGCTTACTGATCCAAACTAAGGAAGTGTCATTTCTAAGCAATGTTAGACGCATACATTTGTACGAATTATGTTACTACGCAATTCACCTGTATAATGTCCACTGGTAAACTGTATTAATTTGTGCTACATGAAGCAACTAACGAATAGCAAGTATTCCCCAATACTCCCCTTACCTTTTGTGTCACTTTAACCCACTCCCTCTAGCATGTGAGCTTATTGAGCAGGGCCCTCAACCCCTCTGTTCTTGCGCGTCAAACTTGTCTGGTTACAATTACATATTTGTTAGTCCACCCACTGTGCACCCAAAGCGCTGCGGAATTTGTTGTGCTATATAAATATAATAATAACACCAACAACAACAGATATTATTTGTAAAATATGTTCCTTATAAAAAAAAAAAAAAAAATTCTCAATGAAAACCATACACGGGGAAAAAAAAATATTCATATTTTTTTAAATCTTAGATTTTTATCCACCCTGCTTTGTGTAAATAAAACTGATCAGTTCTCTCTCTCCATTCTCAGATTGCCTGCCCCACACTGCTGCAATAAATCATTCTGAATGATGCATTCACACACAGCCTCCTTCCCTTTGCAAGCTATGCTTTGCATTGTGCTTAAGAAAAGCAGGAGAGATGCCAGAGGATGGTTTCCCTAATAACAGGCATGTACCGCCTTATTATCTCTGTGCCAAATGGCACAAAGAATGGACTGACAGGAATGGTAAGGAACTATAATTCAATGTCTAATTTTAGAGAAATCTAGACATTTGCTAGCAGTTCTACTAGCACATTGTATATATGAAATTGGATTATCCATCATTTAAGATTAAGTAGCATTTGTCATGATAGGTACCATTTAAAGGGGCACTACAGGCACCAAAAGCATTTTAGCTTGCCAATGTGCTTTATCTGTGAAAATTTTACGAAAAGTGCAGATTTCAACAGAAATTGTCCCTTTTATAAAGTAACCTGGTTTGTTTAACCCCCATCCCACCCAGACCAGTGAACAATGAGTTAAAAAACAAACAACCAGGATTAAAGTTACTTGCCACCACATGAACAGCATTTTGTTTTCAATTTATTTGAATTTTTTGAATGGAGTGCAGCGTGTATTTCAGAGTGACCCCTTGCTATGGGAGGCAGCAAGTCTACATATTATCTACTACAGGAAAGGGCTGTGTTAATGTAATCAGAGATTGGTCTGAAGGGACA